GGACGAAGCTAGATATATAATCATGCCGTTAGATGTCGAGTTCAAATTGGACCGCTAAAAACCCCGTAGATCAACCTGGTTACGTCGAGCTGAACACCTATGTGATTGTCGATAATCATGATGACGATTGATAGCTTTTCTTTGTCCGAGCTCTTCATTTGACTCTGTTGTTGATCATCGTGTCCCTCTTTAGATCACAATATGCCAGCTCAGATTAACGCCCATGGTCAATCTGGCCCTGACGTAACCCGGTGAGTGCCATTCGGGATTGTCAACTATCGCTCCCCTCTCAACCGGTCTGAATGCTTCTGCAGCGTTCACCCGCAATCATTCGTTACGCTCCCACCGCTCTTTCTGGATCGGACCCCTCAGAAACATAAATCGTTTCAAATAACTAACCAGTTCGTTCTTATTGTAGCATGTGAAGTGATACTACAGAATTGTAGTCAAACCCAGAAGTTTTGCTTGCAGATTAGCTAACCACTGTGCTGGATAGGTTCGCTTACCTGGGCAGTTGTCCCCAGATGAGCTGCTTGGAGTAATACCTAAACGTCCCCAAGGATGTCACTTACCAGCTAACTTTTGGGCGTACTGAAGTGAGTCTCTGAAGTTTCCCGTTTGATCTTCAGACTTCTTTATCGTTGTGTATCTTTATCACGGCTCCGTTTAGTTCGAACACACAGCGGTGGATTCACTCAATTTGATGTGGTCTTGATCTCGGCAGCATTGATAGAGCACTCAGTCATCATTGCGGAGCCGCCGTGTTCACTTTTCACGAATGTGCCTGAAACAAGTAAGAAGAAGCGTTCAGCTGTAGCACAATTCTGGTGCCTAGCTGCCATGCCATCCAAGGGAAACACGAGGGCTGGGATGCTTCCAGTTTGCCCAGGCCTAGACAGGGTAAGTCGCGTGGCGGAGATCGGGCTCGAACCACGGACCTTCCCGTCAGTAAGTTCGCGCTCTGACCACTTGGGCCATCTCGCCCCTGAAGCAAGTAAGGTGAGAATACTTCCAGATGGAAGTAGAGGGACGAAAAATGCTGGTTGAGGGAAATTTCTTCATTACGAAGCCGTGTACTGACTATTTCTCCTCGTATTGTGACGAAACGTTTGCAGTCTATTTGCGAAGCATAATTGGCGAGTGTCGTGTAGTGAAATACACTGTAGGCCTAGTACAAGGAGAAGATGCCTACTCTCAGAAAGTCAGCAGACACGTTTTGGATTGGAACTTTTCGAAATGATCCACGGAATAGGGTATACACGTTCTTTTTAAATCTGGGAGCGTTTCTTGGCAGTTGGTGTGCAAATATTTCGTCACTGGTCGAGTTGTCATCGTCAATGCGGGGTCAAGTGGTGACAGTTGTCTGTGAAATCTTTTGCTAACATTCCACTGCGTCCTAGGGTGGTGTTAGGGTAAGAACTAACCCCCACACACACTTAACAGTGCTGCATTTACGCACTAATTTATCAGTTATCACCTTCAATGCGCAGCTACTTGCCATCCACCTCCCCGAATCATCGGTGAACGAAACTGTGGCAGCTACAACCACTGTACGACAAGTACGCGGTTATTACAGCTGACAATGATGTTGATGAAATCCGGTCGTTATAGCCGAATCTGACCTCTCAGGAAGACGCCGAGCCTTAATGTGTGGATACATGATATCGGTTTCTGATTGAGTACATTGAATTTGGGTCACATCTTTTTGGGTGGTATGCCTGTACTTCAAGGTTCAGCCTGTCTGAGCCAGTGGGATGACAAGATGCACTTTCTACTTTTTTCGAGGACGGAGCGCCTCATGGTGATGTCCATCTATATTTGATACTGATCATGGTCACAAGGAAACAGCCTATCCCGTGGG